CGATACCAGGTACCATACACCCCTACCCGTGAGAGCCTCTCCTCGGCCTTTGAATCCTTCTTAGAGCGTTTTGAGGCATCCGACTTGAGCTCCTCCATCTTATGATTGTAATGGTCAAGGTCGGCAAACGCTCTATCACGGTCCTTCAGCTTCTGCTGTAAGTCGGCGTTTCGCTGTACCAACTTCTGAGCCTCCCCCACCGCAACCTGCAGCTGTGGTCGGGACGCCTGGGCCGACTGCTGACATCTGCTCAGCTGGTCCGCAAAGACACCCAAAGCCTGGGTATACTGAGGACAACCCATTGCCTCTACACCGTTCACAGCGAATACTACTCCACTGTCAGTATGGGAACTCAACGTGCTCGCCTCCTCGTCTTTGAGTGGAACAATTAGCTCCCTCGACTGCCTACACATCTCCTGATGAGTCGCGCGGATCTCATCCGTCAACTCCGAGAGCCGCAACAGTTGGCGATACAGAGCCTAGCCAAGGAGGAAGTTAGCAGTCACCAAAATCACTACTGATCAATTACTGCGGCCTTGGCAGCATGTTCTACAACTGCAACCCTCTGCTTCTCCAAAGGATCGGGTACCATTATCCTAACTCCGAAGACCTGAGGAGTGACCGAGCAACATACCGTGTGGGCTCGACTGCGGATTACCTTAGCAGAGAGATTCCGCCACGTCCGGCTCGTGAGAACAACCATATTATATTGATCAACTGCATAGACCAGAATACTCTCAACCAACAACCGAGATGCACCCCAAGCAACAACAACAACAACAACCATCGCAATCGGTAGAAACTCACAGCACAGAGAGGATCACTAAAATGGCGAAACCCGTTGAAATCGGTACAGTACACCAATAAGCGTTCCTCTGATGCACACAGTACCATACAAAAGTAAATCACATATATATCAAGGCAGTGGTGGCAGCTGTGGGTAGGCAGCAGAAGGACCATCCTTCTCAGCAACTTGAGGGGCACTACTGTTCTTCTTCACTTCTTCCTCTATCATATCAGGGATCTCCTTACTGAACGTATCTGCATCCTTCGCCCCCTCAGACGTTACGGCTCCTATATACCGCGAGTACTGAGGGAAGAAAATGAACTAACGGATTCGGAAAGACAGTAAGCGACACCAACCTCGGCCACCACTATGGATATTTCCCTGGTCTTCTGCCCAATTACGATGTCCATGTCACCACGGACCTCCGTATCTATCTTCGTAAACTGTTCTTGAGCCACGCGATGCTTCTCAACGTTCTGATGATATACGATGAGTCATTCCCGTCTCCCAAAGAGCCCACCCGAGCTAGCCTTTCATCTTCCTTCGGGTTCGGTTTGGATTTTTTCGCAATTTCAGCCTTCAGATCAGCCACTTTTTGATTATAGTGATTCAGCTCTTCATAAGCTTGATCACGACTTCTAACTCTCTCCTGTAGAACATTAGTACGTTTGACCAAGTCCTGAGCCGTCATCTCAGCTTTCTCCAGCTGCGGTCTAGCGTCACGGACCATCTTGTTACTCTCCGACATATGGTTCACAAATGTAGCTGTAGCCCGATCGTACTGAAGGATAGGCAATAATCCCATCTTTGTAGAGTCTAAACAGTACCCCATCAGAAGGCTCTTGGCCTCCTTGACTCGTCCCTGCGATGTGAGTAACATCGTCCTCCTCAGAGGCATCTATACGCTGAATATCCTTCAATATATCCTGTCGTACTCGGGTTATCTCATCCGTCAAAGCTAGCAAACGTGCAATATGCTGATGCAAGGCCTGAGAATGCTGACTTCAAGAAAACCGGTAGAAAGTCATTCACATTTCATCACAATTCCTTCTACTACTACTACTACCACTACCACTACTACCTGAACTCGACCCGCATAGTCAGCTAGTTCCTTCCGCTTCTTCTCTAACGGGTCTGAGGTTATTGCCTGTACCCCCATTACCTGAACGAAGTCCCCACTTCTCATCACGACAAGTGATGGAGTAAAATATCCAAAATAGACCAATCCTAATCTCAGTGTTTCTATCAAAAATGATCAAAGGGGGGCACCCACCACGATTAGTTAACGCATACTACGAGAGCTCTCACAATCCTCCCACCGAAGATATTAATCATACTACCGTATTGGTGAGATTCCGCCAATGCTTGCTCGAGAAGACTACCATACTCGATAGAAAATCAAAACAATGATAACTGATTCAGAAAAAAATCGTCAACATCCCCGCACAGACGGCGTGAAATCCGCTATAAAACCCCTACCAACTCATTGATCATAAGACAACCAAACACATTCGGATCAAACAGGCAACAACACAATCCTGCTGAAAGCAACAGGACTATAAGAACACACTTTGGTGATATAACTCAATGTCCAGTGTCGTCCTCAGGGACGACTGCAGGACTTGCGCACACATTCTCTAAAACATTCACGAACACCTCAACCACCTTCACCATTTACTCGTCCCTGACCACAGTAACATCAGCACCACCCACCATCACATGATGGACATTGTCATCATCGTGGTGGTGCTCTTCATGCTCGTGATGACTCGAAGCGTCAGAGCCTTCACGACGGTGATGACGTCTTCCAAAGAGACCATGGCGACTCTTATGGTGACCTCCCTCAGAAGCAGAGCTGCTGCTGCTACTACTACTGTTAGAAGAGGAAGACGATGAGCTGTCCGAATCGTGATCAGTAGAACGCTCAGCGAGAACAACAGGTTGGGGAACGTCCTTCATTCCGCGGCGAACCTCACTGGGCACATCCTTGACGAGAATCTCAGCAGTATGCTTAGCAGGAGCACAGAAACCAAGGAAGCGAGAATACTGAAAAAACATCATTGTAACTCAGCGCTATTATCCATCATATCTTAGTCTCACCGGAACCAGCAGCTTAGCATAGTCGGCGCCAGGGCACTCCACGGACTGATACACCTTCATAGCAGTAGCACGATCGATATCGCTCAAGTCATCCGCGCCCTCCAGATGTCTGTAATGAGCAGCAACCTGACGGAAATCATTTAGACAAATGGCCGAAACCTTTCGCTCACCATGTCGGCCCTAGAAAGAGCACGATCAATCTTAGGCTGAGCACTCTCGACCGCATTACGCCAGGCTTCAGCTTGAGTCATGAACAGCTTGCAAGCTTCACGGAACTGACCAAGTAACCATCAGGGATCTAAAGCATGTCACAATCCCCCCCCCCTTACATGGTCGCTTTCCCTGTCTCCAGCCTCATCGACGAGCTGCTCCTCGAACAAACGGGCCACCTCAGACTGAGCCTTCGACAACTTATCCATGTACTCCTTCACCTTCTCCATCTGATGCTTCAACTCCTCAGAGCGTTCAGCACGCTGGGGCAAACTCTCTCTGAAACCTTCAAGTCTGTCACCGTCAACGTGCTTCATGGGACTCCAATCTCCTTCGTCGAAACTCATTGTAATAATATCAATAACAAAGAATATAAAAACACTGAAGAGACATGAGACCGATACTATGACATTTCGAAGCTCCTCTTTCTTTGCAGACAGTACTAGCTGTTGAGCTATTGTGTGACAAAGAGACATTGTGATATAAGCTTACCACACTTTATGTGAAAATGATCTTACTGCTAGTATTCATATTCGTTACGATATCAATATAAATTATGATGATTCAATTCATTAATAATCATATGTTAACCTAACATATAGATCTATACATTCTATGCCCTGACATTAGTTGATATTCGTTTAATTAATTAATATATCATCACCGAGATTGCAATGATGCTCTTCCTAACTTTTAACTGCACCATTTATCTCTACGAAACCTGTGACCATAGAAACCGTTCCGATAACCATTGAGTGAATGACTGACCAATGAGTTCGAATATTATACTATTATATACCAAAAAATGATATTAAATAATGGCATAATAGTAACCAACCAGATCATAGATCATATTTTCACCAATCTATATATCACCTTAATACCTTATCATAAATGTGTTCATGGAATCTAATTCCTTCAACCTAATATCGCCTCCAAGATCGACAAAGTCTGTGATCCACACAAGAGACCAATAAATCAATAGCGCCGTTCTCTGACACATGACCCCCTATTATTGATTCACTCAACGCAAGTGACACACTCCGCTTGAAAACCACCAATTGGTAGTGAACGGGACAACGGTAGCACCCTGAGCAGAGACTAAAGGAAGGATGAACGCACACATGACGTCAGACCTTCGCAGATCTTGTATAAAAACTATAATATACTGGTGGTCAGACGCTTACACGAGAGACTGACTTCACTACACACTTATAAAACCTACAAAAGTACTACATCTGCAAGTAAAGAATGGTCTGAATATACGCCAACCCTGAACTTCTCTATAACCGCTCTCCAACCAACGAGACTGGACTCTCTAAATGTCGTCACCGCTACTAGCCGAATGATATGCTGCCTCATTGGTTACATCCGTTCTCTCTTCGTGTTGCTTGGAGGAGGATGAAGTTGGCTTCAACTCACTGCTCTCCGCATGCGCTTCAGATGCCTCTTCCGCATGTGCCCTCGGTGACCCTTCTGCAAGTGCTTTAGATGCCTCTTCCGCATGTGCCCTCGGTGACCCTTCTGCAAGTGCTTTAGATGCCCCTTCCGCATGTGCCCTCGGTGACCCTTCTGCAAGTGCTTTAGATGCCTCTTCCGCATGTGCCCTCGGTGACCCTTCTGGAAGTGTTTTCGGTGGTTCTTCCAGAGAGGTTTCGGTCGTACCACCCGATATCGTAACATCTTCCTCTCCCTTGGCAGCTTGCTTAGGGAGACCGATTGGCGTCCGATCACAAGTAAGATCCTCATGTACGGCCGAGCGGAGGATATTAGGGATCTTCCTCGCTAGTATATACGCTGTATTAGCTTCCGTTGATGCAGCAACTCCAAGATACCGTGAAAACTGACCACACATTATATATTTCCTACCACTATACTACAGCTCACCGGAGCTAGAACCCTAGCATAGTCCGTGTTCTCATGCTCAATAAGTGAGCGTAAATCCGCAGTAGCGCTCCGATCCAACACTTCCGCCTCTCGTTCCACTGCATGGTATTTGTCCAGTGCCTGATCACACTCTCAAATACAACACACAACTAGTCGCCAGACTCGATCTACCGCGATGATCTGCTGATCATAGTCACGGCCCCTGTGCTTGGTTGCCTTCTGGGAGAGCTCCTCAACGTTCATTATACACCTCTCCAGTTGGCCATTCGTCTTATCCCGCTGCAGCAGCCGAGCTTGCAGCTCATGATTCCGATCTACCATCTCCTCAGCAAAGCATACAGCTCCCGCCAGTTCACACTGAGCGTCCAGAACCGCCTCGTGCATAGCGTCCAGTTGATTCACCAGTAACGTACATGCTTGAGAATACTGAGGGAGAGGAAGAGCCATAGACTTAACACCCGCAATTCCAGCAGTTATAGAAACCCTACTCTTACTTCGTGATTGACGGCACCAGTGGTAGGCTCCATGAGCTCGTTACGGAATAAACGTGACGCCTTCCGCTGAGATTCATCTAGCTTTCCAGCGCAATCATCAATTTGCTGCAGGACGCTCAACAAAGCTTTTGCTTTAGCCG